GGTACGTCCGTGAGCCTCGCGAAGGCCTCGCGACTTGGATCGCCCCTTCCCCCCCCTGTGGTCGTGGTGCTGTGGGCGTGGCGTGGGGGTGAGTGCCGGTGCCCCCCCTCCCCCTGTGGGTGTGTGGTTCGTCGTCGGCGTCGTCGTCGTCGTCGTGGTCCTCGTCGTCGTCGTCGTCGTTGTCGTCGTCGTCGTCGTCGTCGTCGTCGTCGGCCGTCGGCTTCGGCGTCGGCGTCGGCGTCGGCTCCAGCGCGGGCGGCGTCGGCTCTGGCGTCGGCGTCGGCGTCGGCTTCGGCTTCGGCGTCGGCGTCGGCGTCGGCGTCGGCGTCGGCGTCGGCGTCGGCGTTGTCGTCGTCGTCGGCGTCGTCGGCGTCGTCGTCGTCGTCCGTCGGCGTCGGCCTCGGCGTCGGCATCGGCTCCGGCGCGGGCGGCGTCGGCTCCGGCGTCGGCTCTGTCGTCGGCGTCGGCGTCGGCGTCGGCATCGTCTTCGTCGTCGTCGTCGTCTTCGTCTTTGTGTTCGTCGTCCATCCCATCTGGGCATCTAGGGGGTGGGGTCTATGGAACCCTGCGACCCATCCCATCTGGGGGGGGCTGTGAACTCTCCATCAAGGATCATATACACAGCTGCCTGCAGCAAGTCCCGCCACCGTGCCACCCCAGCATTCTGAAGGCAACTGCTCGAGGGGGGCACGGGAGGCCGTCACGTGTGAGACCTCGTGTCTCCAGGCTTGGGGGAGCCGTGATGAGGATGATGAGGATTATGAGGATGAGAGGGTTGATGACGACGACGACGACGATGGTCATGATGATGATGATGATGATGATGATGATGATGATGATGATGGTCATGATGATGATGATGATGATGATGCTGATGATGATGATGATGATGATGATGGAAATGATGATGATGATGATGATGATGATGATGATGATGGTGATGATGATGATGACGATGATGATGATGATGATGATGATGATGATGGTGATCGTGATTATGATGATCATACGTATGATGATGCTGATGATGATGCTGGTGGTGGTGATGATGATGGTAATGGTGTTAAGTACGATGATGGTGATGATGATGCCGATGATGAGTATGATTATGGTGATGCTGCTAATGGTGATCATGATGATGGTGACGATGGTGATGATGATGCTGATGCTGATTATGATGACGACGGCGATGATGATGATGATGATGATGATGATGATGATGATGATGATGATGATGCTGAAGCTGATGATGAGTATGCTGATGATGCTGCTGATGATGTGTCAAG